CGCCGCGGTAGCACGACCATGTGCACACAGCGCGCTACGCCATGCCTAGCCAGCACACGTTACCAAGTCACTAGCCAATCAGGTACGTGCACTGCAACTCATTAATAAAATTAGACTAGTTCTAGTCCTATACACTTTCCGTCACACAGGAATAAAAATACATGAGGAGAATTTCTCTTTTAACCCCTTCACTGCGGGACGCGTTAAGACACACCGTAAAAATTGAGATCCTCAGCCCGCTTTTCAGCTATTATTCTCAGCCCACACATGAGCGAACACGGTGAAAGAAGGCAGACCCTGGCTCTTGTTTATATGGTAATTGGTCTTTGTGTGTAGCCCAGAAATGAAAAGACTGAATTTGCATCATAATCACCAGCTTCAAAATAGTCCCCACTTTGAAAAGAGGCAATGGGAATGTGGAAGCTTGAGTAGAGCCGCATGCCACCGAACAATCAGCATTTTCACCATATGATACAGATGCCCACAGATAAACCATTTGACTGCATCAGTCCAGAAAACAATGGTTCAACAATCACATTGCAATGCTAATGATCTACATCTTTTTTATATAATACATGTCCTATCTTGCTATGGAATAAAAACAGTGAATATTTACCACAGTGTAAATCCAAACCAAGACAACCAAGTTATACAAATGAAGTCCACCCTGTTCTGGAATGCACTATCCTGTCATCAGGGTAATTAAATTATATCTTTGAACGGAGATCCTACTCAGATAACCATCAAAAGGGGAAAAAAGTCCACTTTTCTTTCCCTTTCATAAAAATTACGCAATCAAATCCCTAAAAGAAAATCAACATAAGAACACCAACAAGGGAGATGGGCATACAAAGGCTTCATAGCTCTTTACAGGAGAAAGGAATGCCTAAAGAATGGTCCAGTACAGTCAGACTAGACCTGGATACCTAGATAAGCAGTGCATTTGTGAGTTTGATGGATGGTGCATAATTAAAATTCCTCTGAAGTACAGTTTTGCACTTTGCGTCCAGCCCCATCATCTTCTCCTCTAGAATTCTAACCCCCCTCTCATCCCATATCTACCATGTCTACTTTGACTCCACCCCTAATTCCGTCTATCTCCAATCTCACATCCACCTTATCCTTCCATCCATATCCTACTCCACCCCTCTATCATCTTGTCTATCTCCTAATTTGCCCCACCCTATCATCCGATTCATCTCCTACTCCACCTCCATCTCATCATCCCATTCATTTCCTACTCTGCCTCCTCCCCATCATCCTATCCATCTCCTACTCCGCCCCCTCCCCATCATCGCATTCATCTCCTACTCCACCCCTGCCAATCATTCCCTTCACGTCTTACTCTGGCTGTTCCACCATCCCACTTATCCAGCCAAACCATTACGCCGACCTCATCCACGAATCTTCTAACACGGAGAAAGAATGCATAGACATCCAGTAGGGTGACGTGAACATGAAGTGTCTTGCAGCTGTGTGTAGACAAAACCATTACTGCACAGGTGGCAGACTAGAAACTTGTTGAGAGTTTGTGTAAGTTAACGGAAGTGGTTCCCTTTAAAATTACACAGTTTTAGTTTAGAGTTACCCTGTATTTTGGGGTTAATGTTTCCCTTGTTAATTTACTTTGACCCTTGCATAAACCCATATAACTTGACCCCTTGCTCTGACCACACTTTGTTTGAAGAGCAAACCAGCACAGACACTGTTCACATATTTGTTCCTCCTCACTGGATTGTGCATTTCTTCTTGAGTCAGGTTTCTGTCTGCTTCAAAGAGTCAGTGGTTGAAGCCAAAGTCTCTTCATTGAATCTATTTTGAAACACTATGTTGGTTTTAGCCCTTTTAAAGTTTTAGTCTTTTGGTGTGAAGTCTTTTCAGTCTTTTAAAATAGTTGGGCAAATTTCAATCCAGTTCAGAATATTTCATAAAATATTCCGATTTGACTTTATCATGAATTATGAAACATTCTTTGAGGTGATCAACAACAATGTTGTAGTCGACACCGTTAAGCCCGGGTCCCAGACACCAAGACCATGACCAGCAGGTGCACTAATTATTAACAGAAAAAAATTGACTTAAAAAAGAAGACGCATGCTAGTAGTACTATGCGTCACATTTGTACTGCACTTGCAATCCGCAGCCAATAATAGTTTGGAACTTTGGAATTACATGTATATCTTTAAACAATCCCCATTTTTGTGGCCTCACTCTCAGAACGATCCAAGTTCATTTGAATTGGTTTAAAGTTTTTGATTAGCACTCCCAACTTAGTAGCCAGTGAATTCAGGACTTATGGGTGGACATGTATGATGGAGACTTAGGCCTACATGCAAATTTCAGAGTGCCCAGGCCTAGCATTTTCTGCTAAAAAAAAAAACAAACAAAACAAGAACAAAACAAAGAAGAAACAAAACATAAAATAAAAAGGAGGGAGTACACAAAGAGGGCTCTTCAAAAATGGAAGGCCCCATTGATAAAGCTACTTTGTGCCCAGCTCATTTAGTGAATACATGCCGAACTTGTTCCACAACGTTCAGATATGCATGATGTCCCAGGACAGAAAATGCATGAACAGCAGAGTGTTTTCTGTTCCTTGCTTTATATCAGTGTACTCCTTAAGGTCTCTGAAACAAAATTTTACTACCGCAGATTTGCTGACTCAGGATTTTGTAGTTATTTAGCTATGCAAGGCATACACATGCCCACGGAATTAACAGTTGCCCCAAGTATACATGTCACACCCGCATATCCCACCACATGTAATTTGTGTTGATAATCTTGTTAGAGAGCCAATCTTTTATTTCCGGAAGCAGGCTGCATGTTATGTACAACATACACATGTGGTTATGCACAGTGTGCACATTCCCTTCAGTTGCATGTGTGGTACTTCTTTAGTGGGTGATACCTTTATGCATTCCAACCTTACTACGGTATAACGATTCCTAAACAAAATTGACAGCATGATCTACTGGTTAGCAAATGTTTCTTCTGTAACAACAGGACCAGAAAATGTGCTGATGAAGTGATGTGGCAAATTTAAAGCGAACACAAAGCAAGGGATCAATACTGTGACAAAATAAATGCTGCATATTACCTTTTTCAACATGAGACCAGTAATAATATCGAAACCAAAGGGGACCGAGAACACAGCTATCAAGACCAAGACTGGCAAAAAGTGGTCTCGAGACCAGCCTCAGGGTCTGCAACACTGATCAGCTAGCTTATTCAATTGGGTTCACCATGTATAACAGACACATAGACAACAATTTGTTAAAGTGGTACCAATGTAATGCATGCATCTGTTTGTGCACACATCTGCAAAAAGTGTTAAAAATTATTGATGCCTTACTTTACTGAGAGTAATTTAGGTATTAATAATAGACAGTACAATATTAAAATTGTCTGAAAGATAAACTTACGAACTAATTTTCAACCAGTTATCAGGCACATCATCGATTACACTGTTCTTCACTTCAATGAGGAACTGGAAAAAAAAGTCAAAATGACACACAACAGTTGAGAAATGTTCATTTTTAAATTTGAGGTGGAGCATCTGAGGGGGTTTTGAAAGGTGTTAGAGTGGAAACGGTTAGCGCAAAGGGAGCTTGGTATGTTTGAGGGTTTGTCGTGACTTGTTAGCCTAGTACTGTAGGCAAGTGAATGGATTGTCAAGTTGGAAAAGAGTAAGGGAAGTAAGTTAGCTTAGTGGGTAGGAACTTTATTTTATTTGTCTTTATCTTTCAAAATCTTTAATAACTGTAATTTCTGGTACAGTAATTCTTTCTACGGGCTTATTCCCTCATTATTGATATCAATGGAAGAATTCTGTTGCTATAATTTCACCCTTGTCACCTTTATGTGTATTCTTACTGTCTATCTGTCTAATAATCCCGAAACAGGAATTTCCTTGTTTCATATCCATTCAAAGCAGAAACACAGAATTGAGCAGAACTGTGCAACAGAAACCATGTGGGTATTTAGAAACTAGAAAACCAGAACGTGTTGACAAAGACAAATGTTTCATTCAGTTCATGTCAAAATAACAACTTGTCTCAAGAGTTTACCTTTAGACAAACAAAATATTGACAAATCAAACAGAACAAGTTTTAGTCAAAATGCCACTGACCTTTGATACAGGTACATGTATATGGAGTTTAAAATTAACAAGTTTCTGGCGCATACAAAGACAAATAAGTACATACCAAGTTTTCAAGTTTCAAAGACTTTCTAAAGGCATCACGGTATTAGGATGATTCTGGGAACTGTAATAGTTGACTGATTGACTAGTTTTTAAACTCGGTTGAATCCAAGCCTGATGACAATTGTTGTATTTCCAAGCTAACACAGCTAAACAAAGCTGAGCCAATGTGTTTCATTCAATTTTCTTTCATCTGTGTCCCCTATGAATATGAGTTGGCATTTAAAAGTGGTCTACACTGCTAGAAAGATTAAATTATGCAAATACATAGACTAAAATCTCACGATATTAAATATTCTATTCCAAGAGGGGAAGTCACATGAAATAAGACATTTACACTGTTTTCAAATAAACTTATTCTTTCCACTGAAGAACTGCAAAACATTCATTTCTTTGTCTACACAACGCCTCCATGTAAATAAATGTAGGCATCATGTCATGTACAAGTCACTGTTTCACCTTGTCAGTCTAGAATATCCATGCATACATGTGACTCTGAATTGCCAAGTTTCAAATGTAGAGTGGTGAAAAATGTTTACTGATAATGTGGACCATGTACAATTAAATGTTCATCCACATACATGTACATAAGTTATAAATGTAAATACTATAACAACAAAACCCATTCCGACCGATCCCCCCTCCCCAACTTGTGAGGTCAACAAAACCTTGCATAACAAAAAGTTGTTTAACCCTTTGACAACGGGAACTTTTTTCCAAAAGCCAACTCAGAGAATTCCAGCCTCGCTTGGCCATGAAGGCCACCTGCCAAAACACAAATTCTTGGTTTTTGACCCTGCGTGCTCTGCACACTTTGAATTACACAGTGAAAAGGCTCATTGTTCGGTGGCATGCGGCTCTACTCATGCTTCCACATTCCTGTTGCCTCTTTTCAAAGTGGGGACTATTGCGAAGCTGGTGATTATGATGCGGTCTTTCCATTTCTGGGCTACACACAAAGGCCAATCACCATATATACAACAGCCAGGGTCTGCCTTCTTTCATCGTGTTTGCTCGAGCGTGGGCCAAGAATAATAGCTGAAAAGTGGGCTGAGGATTTCAATTTTTATGGCAGCTCTTACTGTTATCTATTGCGAAGGGGTTAATAGGATGTTTACCTCTATTCCTGATACTGTGATGTAATCCAGTGTAGGCTTTCTAAGGACCTTCCTAACTTCCCTCCGATGCTCTTGAATCTGTCCAAGAAGTTCAGTGATGTCTTTCTGACAGTGTACAACACCAGGGAAAGGGGATGTGTCACAGAACAATTCCGTCTTCTTCCCTTCTCTGTATGAAATTCACATAAAAGGAAACAATAAATCTTTCTGCACAGCAAATGGATGCACTGCATTCTAAACATGGTGAGCCAACTTAAACCGACTAAAATGTATGCTGCTTCCTTTTCTCCCCCCCCCCCTTTTCAACATTCGTGTTCCATATTTGACTGCATATTTCAATCTCTTCTGAGAGATTGTGGCATCCTGAAATAAAATGTAACAGGACAGCCCAAGTTGAAATATCACAGAATATCTTTACATAGCATGTTTAAATCTTTAACCACTTGATGCTGGATGATGTGTAAACACACACAATTTTCCTTATTTGTTTAATGGTTTTTTCATTTCTTTGGTTGACTTATAAATGCATCGTGCTTGGTTCCATTAAATAAATTGCATTTTTGAAGAATTTGCAGGATTAAACCCAACCCCTGCAGTTTTTTTGGTAAACAAATCCAACATTAACTAGTTATGATAATTAACTGTGTAAAAATTATAACATGAAAGCGATAAGATATCAGAACAATTGGGGTGTCAAAGTTCTACTGGCTAGATGCTAAACCCCATGAAAAGAATATGGGTACTTCCACAAAAATAGCGTACAACTGGCTGCCAATTTGGGATTTGAGAAGGGGACACTGTGGGTACAGCTAAGCAAGATATTTTGTTTGGTATTTCCTGTACATGAGTCTTGGAGGGCGGGAAGTTGGTGATTATCCAGACACTCAACACCATTATTCCCCCTCACAACCTGGAGGTCTGCGGACCTGTGAAGATCTGGTAGGGCCCACCCTTAAACTACTGGGAAATGGCCAGCCTTGCGGGACCTTTTTGACAGAGTGCAGTGCGTTTAGGGAATCCCCACACCTGGCCTCCTTTAAGTATCCCTCAGATATACTGTCCCAGCAAAATAACTCTTATGCGGTATACTACAAGTAATTCGTGTAAATACTCATGTTTATCTTAATGTATTTTAATGTTTTACTCATTTTTCATTTTCAAGTATCTTTGTCTTGCCAGATAAGTCAATGTAAATTGCCCTGAGGTTAACTTAACGGAGGGCATTTGCTAAATCCCTTTTTATTATTATTGTTATTATTATCATATGTAAAAAAAATAAGGACTCTCTCTATACTTCCAAAAATGCAGGGGTCATTAAAAATAATTACCCATGTGACATGGACAGAATTTTTGATATGAATTGATGGGACACTCCTTGTCGTAGGCATGAAATTACTCAAATATTATCTCATCTATACTCATAACACACCTAGGAGTGTTACAAGCTAAAGCAGATCAGGTTTCTTGGTCCTTATTAAAGATATTTTGTGTACATGTGACAAATGTCACGTAGACAGAATTTCTACGTAAGATTTCTGTACATAAACATATGTAATACTCTGAACATAATATTCTGCAGCATCTAAAACATGAAGTAAATTGTCATGGTTTTTACAGGTAGCATTGTTATAGGGATAAACATTTACAAGTATGATATTTGGGTGGAAATGTTTATCGTAATTATGACTTTTTATCAATATTAACAGACACCTTCTAAAAGTTGCTTGAAAAGATTTAGTGAGCACAATCCACATCAATGGGGTGGGATGGTGCAAGGGGAAAGAGGGCAAATAGCTTGATATTATCAACTTGATTTATTTTCCAATCCAATGTAAAACTTTTGAACCCCTTTTGTGTGGAAAGACTCATATCAAGATCTTAACAAGTTTGATAGCACTTCCACAGCTTTGTACACAATCTTGCCTTAAAGCCAGGGCCCAATAAGGTCACACATGAAATGAGCCAGTTTGGTAATGTGGCATTTTATTGTCACGAGCCAGCCTACATCTCGCCAGTCTGGGCGAACTATTTCCAACTATGAGAAAAGTCACCTGAACTTAACCTAAACTATCTGCTTTGGCCCTTGAGTTTGATGAGCAATCTAAGGTCCAGGGGTTAGGGGTCCTTTTGGCAGAAATATTCCACGCATTGGTAATTGATTTGGTGACCCAGTTGACTAACATAACAATGAGCATATCAACTGAACTTATTTAATATACTTTTCTTTAGCTTATATGATCACTGTATTTGCACAATTGGAATTACTTATTTTAAACAAAGTTACTAAAGAATAATAACACAAAAGACAATTACAAAAGAACACTCAAATAACCCGTACTCCACAACCCAGCAGGTACATGACGTAATTTCAACATTGATGTTTGGTTGAAATCTGGTTGGCAAAATGTTTCAACGTCGACAACCATAATCCAATGTTATCTGAACATCACTTTTATCACTTTTAGTTCTGACACTGCAAAAAGGTATTTATTAAACATTGGAAGTACGGTTGAAATCAGTCGCGACATTAGCAACCTAAATTCAATATTTACCCAACGTTGATGATCAAATGCTGTATCAATGCAAAGATATCAATGTTTATTCATAGTTGAGTTATTGTTGGTATTGTGTTGCGATATTAACAACCTAAATTCCATGTTTAGCCAATGTTAAGTCACAAACGTTGTTGCAACTTTAATATTTCCACTTATCCAATGCTGCTTTATTGTCGAAATACATGTCACAATCTCAACAACTGATTTTTAATGCTTAATCAATATTAAGAGTATGACGTTTATTCAGTTTATGGAGTAAGATGGGCATCGGACGTTGAATATAGATTTTGTTGATATAATGTTGCGATATTAACAACGTAAACTTCATGTTTTGCAAATGTGAGGTTGCAAACATTGTTTCAACTTTTATATTTCCACATTTATCCAATGTTGCTTATTGGTGAAATGCAATGCTTATTCAACATTCAGCCGGTGACGTTGACTGGGTGTCAGGAGTTAGACGGTCATCCAACATTGAACATTTGTTGATATGTTTTTGCGATATGAACAACCTAAATTAAATGTTTTGCCCAGTCATGTCGCAAACGTTGTTTCAACTTCTATATTTCCATAGTTACCCAATGTTGATTTATAGTCGAAATCAGGTAGGCCTACCGGTAGCAATTTTAACAGACTGAATTAAATGTTTAATCAACATTACGCCCATAATTTTGATTCATTGTAAGGAGTCCAGCATTGAATATTTGTAGATATTACATCATGATGTGAACAATTTATTTAATTAAAATTTTTTGCCGACTTAAGGTTGCAAAAGTTGTGTTAACATGCATATTTCCACAATAACCCAATTGTTGAAGTTTTGTTGAAGCAATTCAACCCAAATCCAACATTAAAAAGGTAACATTGATTTGGTGTTTGGAGTAAGACAGTAATCCAACGTTAAATATTTGTTGATATTGTGTTGCAATCAACGACCATAATTTAATAAGTAGCTAACATTAGATTTCAGTTTCCCTTTTTGAGTTCATATAGTTGCAATTTCGAAACTTTAATACTTATTCAACACAAAATTGAGTCGCCTAGTAATAACCAATATTTAATATATTATCAACTAGTGTAGGGTTGTTAACGTTGTTTGAAGAGGCATCTTTTTCCCCACAAACAGGCAATTTTAAATTTCTTTAATTTGACCCTTAATTGACCACAATTTATGGAGTTAAATGAAATAAATAAAACTGAATCTGGGTCATATTTCAAGTGTATACATTCTGTTCAAAAGAAATTGTCAGAGGCATGCCATTTTTTTGTTAATGTATTACATGTTTTTAACATAATAATGTACAGTATATTTGTACAATATAATGTGATCTCATCATGTTACTTAACTGCACCTACACACCATACCATCTAATTGGTCCCTATTCAGGCAGACCGCGTTGTAGTAATGGTATAAGACTATGTACCATTTATCCACTGTATGTGCATATGCTGCCGGCCGACGGGCCGGAAGCTCAGATTTTAACGGTTGCTGCCTTAGACATTCAAATCTTTACATCGTGAACTAGGAAACAATCTCGGTTCCGGAATGATTCTACTGATGTCGATCATATCTTTGCATTGATGTTCACAACACCAGTGAAAGAAGTGCCTCTGTGGTGCCCGTAATTTCACGGGGTGCTGACATGAGTTTGATTTTGGACATGAAAACGATGTCAATTTTCCAAGTTAGTCTGCCCATCTGCCATGTCAATCATGCGCACGTACACCGCCATTCCTGCCCATGACATGCATGAGCTGAGCCTGATGATGTAGAGACTCGCAGAGTGAGTTTTCAATTTTTTGTTTCCTTACTTGTTATACGATCTCCTCTTATGCATTTTTACTGGATGTGTTTTTGAAAACCCAATTTGTGTTTAATTTGAAACCCAGCATTTCCTGAAATCTAATTGCAGGATGGTTGCAGAGAATGAGATTTGTTAAACAAGAGCATGCCACATTTTCACATCAGTCAGGCCATCTGTGTCCATGCTCTAAGGTCATACCATGTAGTAACCCCACATGTACGGCTGTGGATGGCTCTTTTATGAAATCTGTCTCTTTTATGTCACAGAAAAGTGGCAGATTTCAAAAGAGAGCCACCCACAGCACTGCGTGTGGCCCATCATGCCATGATGGCGCCAGCACATGCACTTAGCCTTACCCATGGGAATGGGGAGGACGTCAGGACCCCAAATTGCAAGGTTCTGCCATGGAGAAAGCCGTATAGTATCAGGCAGGCCGCACTTTAATTTGTCTCTCAAGGCCTGCATGTTTTAGATTATGTGATACCCTAAACCATGCCGGAACTGATACTTAGGATCCTATTTCCTGACATATGCTTTGATAATTTGTTGATGCTCATTCATCCTTGTTGACGCTAGATTATGACCCTACATGTACTAGTACAGTGTACATGTACATTGGTTGCTTCAGTCAAGCAGATCGCATGCTTATGTTTGTGCCTCGTGGTTGCTGCATATTTAATGAGCTCACTTGCCTATATGCTACTACATGCATGCATGTACAGTATTGTAGACCTACATGTAGAAACGTGTGCTGTGAGGCTTCAATTAAGGCTTCAGATGACCATGCTGTGACATTGCGTTTAGAGCGCTGATAACCTTGTGCAAAGGAAAGCATATTCTAACTCTGACTGTTTTGAATTTCATGTTTTGACACAGATCCACAATTAATTCAAGTTGCCGACTGATTTCAAAGTTTGAAATGCTAAGGGTGTTAACTACTTTGAGTTTGAAATAATTCCAGAAGAAAGTTTGTTGCTGTGCGTTGGAAGTGAAGTCTAGGTTGTTTGTCCCAGAACTTTGTAACAACTGCTACGGCATATGCGTGTGTTTCACATTTCCGTTCATGTAATCTTCAAGTGAACAGTTTTTCGATTTAATTCAGAATGAATGTATAAGAAGACTCTTTGCTTTGTTCCTTTCCAGGACTTTCCTACATTATTTCAAGAAAGGGGGATTTTTGTGCACGGACACTGCCCAAGCAGAAATCATTACAAAATTGCAAGTGAGAGATTAATGTACATTTGCATAATATTTTGGAACATGATGCAGAATTTTTAAGTCCTCAGGGAAAGGCCGTGTGGATTGTTACCAGCCAAGATTGAAGACACATACCACCTCAAGATTATCTAATAAACATACATGGAAATGAAAAATATATATTGTTCTCGATATTTACATGTATAAATATAGTACATGTACATGTACCGGGTAGAACTTAAGCAGTGGTTAAACCTAAGGCTTTAATTAAATAAGGATTTATAAGAAAACTTCATTGGTCAAAGATTTTGTACTTGATTTGCATGTATTTAATTTTACAAATTCTGCAGAAGTACACTAACACTAGCTACAAGCGGCAGCTGACTGGCACAAGCAAATTTTTTGATGGGACTGCTACACATTGATCTAGTTCAAGACCATCACAGAGATGTCCATTTTTCAAAAAAGAGGACCACACTAAATCTAGTCATTTTGTGTGAATTCTACATGCATGATGTATATCAGGAAAAGGATACTCCAAAAGTGTCCACATATTGACATGTTGTTTCTAGAAAATTTGTTAAGTGACACTGGTAGATGAAGATTTTAGCTTTAATATAATTGATGCATATGTACATTAATGGAATTCACACATGCGCATGTAGCCATAGGTTTGTTTTCATAAATCACCTTACAGTTTTCTTGCACCCAACATGAATAGGATGATTTATGAAAGTAGCTAGCCTCTGGTCACCACGGCATGAACATTCCTTATGCACAAAACCTTTGCTGACAAGTTTATGCCGACAGACTTTTCAAGGAGAGTAGTTGCTGAAATTTTTCTGATCGTCTATTTTTTTCTATACATGCGTCCTTTTTTTATGTATGTTGTATACATGTAGTTGTAGTGGATGGTAATTTTGCAGTGTCTTTTTGAAAATTTGTACAAAAAAACCTGTCATTTATGAGTTAAGGGTTTTCTTTTGAAATTGGCATATAGAAATAACTTTAATTCAGCGTTTCCTCAAAAAACTCCAACAAATAACAACAATCCTCACAAAATGTTCAAGTTATAAGTTAGTGTTCACGACAAAGTTGTTTGGCCATACATGTACATGTATGATATGTATAATTATTTGAAAGGAAGGTTGAGGTCATAAAACATGGTGTACAAACCTTTCCCACTATTAAATTTATAAATCAGCAAATTTGATATGAACATACAAGAAGTCCAGTACATGAACTTGACATACCAAAATGATGCTGAATTCAAATCACTTTGTTAAACTGTATTATCCCACTACGGGAATCCCAGAATCATTTGGGAGGAATTTTGGCTCCATTTACTGCATTCCTCAAGTGTGCATTCTGGACTTCATGCTGAGCATCTACCCAAAGAGTAAAAAGAGACTTATTTCTGTAAGATTGCATGCATACATATATACTGTATATGCATAAATCACTTTTGAGCAGGGCTGCATTCCTTTCATCCTTTCTCTGAAATCATTGTTTATGTGAAGATTGCGTTTTAGGGTAAGAATACACATGTACTTGCACTTTTGTTGGATGTAACCACAGAGCTAAACATAAACACTACAGCAAAGAAAATTGAACGTCACCCTCGGTACCGTTAAATTTTGTGCTTGTAGAACTTTCGAGATCAGATAGAATGAACGTTGAATTATGTACACGTACTTGGTTTATTTTTGCCAACACAGAATGAACGTCAATGTAGATCTATGTGTGTTGATTTTATACTTGTATTATGCCTGTCATCACGTGTCATATTCTCTTATTAAGGATTCAAAATCATAAACTCGTATTCAGTTATATTTAATACTGCAACGTACATTTGACAACATGGCAATAACGCTGGCTGGATACTGTGCTTTAAATGCTCATTCAATCTTAGGAATTCCAAGACAGAAAAAGTTTCCAATGCAACCATTATTCAATAGTTGTTCAAATTATGTAACTTTTCAAAATGGTATCAATGTCTATATATATTGTTATAATATGCATTTTGATTTCAGGGTTGATTCATCAAATAGCACTCCACATAAGAAAACTTTCAAAAACAATTACTATTCAACGTTTTTCAGCCAATGAACTTCAACGTTACATCAATGTCGATTTGGGTACGTTTATTATAAGTTGTATCATATAAGTTGTCTCATAACCCTAGTACCAACGCTTTGTATTCAACGTCATAAAAACTTTAAAATACAACCAATGTTCAACGTTCATTCCATGCAAACTTTTAGACATGGCATCAATATATTACGTTCAGTAGATGCAATGCTTCCACCGTTGATTTCTGAGCTAGCATTCAACATTTAAAAACTTTCATATACAACTAATATTCAATATTCATTAAATGCACAATTTTCAACATGGCATCAACGTCGATATATTATGTTGAGTAGATGTTATGCTTCCACCGTTAATTTCAGAGCTAGCATTCAACATTAAAAACTTTCAAATTCAATCATAATTCCACATTAGTTAAATGTTCGAGATAAACGTTGGGTAAACGTTAATTCAACCATTTGTGCCCGCTGGGAAAGTGCCACCAATAATCCGCACTCCACAACCCATTGCCTGTATTCACAATCCGCACTCCTCACTCCGGTGACTGCACCCAAGATATCAGCGGATTGTTGGTGTTAATTAACTAAACCAAACTAATGGGTAACTCAGGGCATCTGTCGACACTCTGGCTGTCCAGTTGTTCACCACCTTCCTAGACAGTGACCTTCGGACAACCCTTGACAACTCTGCCCACAACTCTACTCACACAATACTGTTCTACCCACAGGCCTTTCTGACTGATACTAAGAACAGTACACAATAAGTCCACTACTGCTGATACCTTACAGTTACTTGTAACTGCCTGAATTGCTTGACAGCAGTAGTGTGCACAAAAGGAATAGTCACACACAGCACTGTTCACTCACGGAACCAGACCTCCAGCATGTCCAGACTGACTACACCGCGTGCAGCATGGCATGTTTCAAACACAACATAAACTTGTGCCAGTCCCCACTGCCTTAAACATGTACATTTATATGGCGAATTAAGCAAAGATTAATGCTAATATATACGGGTACCAATTCAGTCGTCTCGCACATTCTCTGCTGCTATACAAAGATAAGAATGATATCATCTTTTAACTGAAACCTAGATGTGTATAAGCCACAGTAAGCACATGCAAGTACATGCACTTCACATGCACGTCTACAAATTTGTCACTTTTGATTCAAGAAACCCCCCCCCATCTTTGTGTTGGTCATTGTTTGATCGGAATCTCAGGAATTCTTTACAGACTTCTAGGGGGGATGTGTTAGGTAACAATAGTTTACAGTGTATATAGGGATTAGACAGGTAAGGGGGGCTACCCCTCCGTCCCATATCTTCCCTGGTATACTTTGATAAACCACAGACCTAGATGTACACAAGTTTATGGGGATGATGTTACCAAATCTGATAACTAGCTTTTTTAATGAAAACAGAATACATTGAAAAACACAAAAGACTTGAAGCTGTGTCAATGTTCCTTTTTTTTCGAATCTCGCATTTGGCACCTTGTGTCTTGCATCTTTCATTCTGCATTATGTCTTCAATACCAAGGCTTGAAATGAGAAAGACGTCCTATAGTGAAGGTGTGAATCTGACTGCAGCAGGCCTAAGAAGCTGGGAGCTGCTAGATGGAACTCTGCAGATAGGCGACTTGCACTTGATAGTCTCTGCTTTGTCAAACCACTGAGCAACAATGAAACTGA